CTTTCCCTGTTGTGTACTTTTTGTTTAGTACTGTTTTGAGGTGGTATCGCAGCGTGGTGTATGGCTGAGCTTATACCTTGCTAACAGAGCCCTAAAAGGTACCTAGGTTCTGTTGGAGCCTGTTTTGGAGCTGCTTTACTGTGCTCTAAGGCCTGGAAAAACTGGCCCAGAAGGCAGTCACAGCAGCTGCAGGGTTTGCTGGGCAGGCTGTGCACGTGCCCCCAGGCAAACACGGAAGATGTGTGATGAGTGTAACAAATACTCAGACATTTCTAGCATGGGCGTTACACAAACATTGACTGTCAACTCACGGAGCAGCGCTGACCTGACCAAGAGAAGGGCTGGGTAAGTTACACCCTCTTACTAGGGATAGTAGTGGTCACACAGTCTCTAGACACACTGACTCCTGAGCTGTCCCTTGGGCTGCTCAGTTTTGCGTCATCTCTGGTGTAGGTCAATGGCTGCAAAGCCCATCCAAACCTCAAGGGAGTTTACAGAATCCCTCATCGCCCATGTAGTAGAGATCTCTCTTTTACTATCATCTCCCTATCTTTCATGTCATAATCTTATATGCATAATTTGAATCTCTTTTTCAACAATAACTCATGTGACTGTCACATCCTTATAAATAATTATAACTTTAATACATGACAAGGATAAGGAGAGACAGAATAGTTAAAAAATAGGAGTGAGGGAGTATTTGGCTTCAGTGTGCAAATGACATATAATTTCCAAAAACATGAACAGGAATAGTTATTTTGCTTTTAAGACTCGTTCATTTATTTGAAAAATATATTCCTCAAAATTGAATTTGTGGTTTCAGGAGCTAAGTATAGAAAATTGCATAATGCCCTTTTAAACTTTGGTGACTAAGAGTGATCACATTAAATAAATATAGCATGCATGGAGTTTGTTAAAATATGGTTTGTTCCATTGCAAGGGTTTAAATCTCGTTGGTGTTTGATTAGGCTAAAACACAATAGTATTCAAGTAGACTTGAAGTATATTTAATATTCAAGTGTAATATCCAAGTATGTATGTTATTTTACTTAAGGCAGAATAAGGAGATGAGAAACATTGGAAAACAATGCATTCTATGAAGGTTATTCTGTGAAGACAGTTAAAGGACTTATGGTTTGCGAAGTAAAAAAAATGTATTTGAAATTTCACTCTTTACTGTTCAAGCTCTTTAAAGTTTATGAACAGCATTATTTTCCATTTTTTCTTCAGGTGCTTCATCCCAAATGCCTACGCTGCTCTCTTCACGGCTGCGCTGGTGCCGCTGATGTGTTTGGTAGTGGTTTTTGTGGTCTTCATTCATGCCTACCAGGTGACCCCGCAATGGAAAGCCTACGATGATATTTTCAGAGGAAGAACTAATGCTGCAGGTATGATAAAGGCTAACTCCAGGGAAACAAAGTTTTCAGAACTCTCCTGAATGTTGTCTCTAATCCAGAATACCCAACAGAAACCACAGTTGAGCAAATACCTCAGCACACGTTTCAGATGAAGCATGCTGGTGGTCCCTTTGAAGTCTGTGAAAGTACCTCAGTGATTAAAGCTGTGCCTATGTTTAGCTGTGAAACCAAGGTGAGGATAAGCGATAACCTAAAGAAATGAACGTGACTGTTTGTGTAGCCTGGTAAGCAGAACAGCACTTGGAGCCAGCCCTGCCTGACAGGCCCTGCCACAGTCTGGGGCTGTAGCAAGCGGGCAGGGCCGGGGGCTGGCTAGCCCTCCCGAGGAAGCGCATGGGCTTCCTCAGCCTGCGCTGCCGCGGGACCGGGATAGCGTGCTGCCCCGAGCCGGCCCTTCTGCCTGGCCCAGCGCCTGGGTGCAGTCCCTGCCCTTTCCATGGCCGTGTAGGTTCACTCAGAGACTGCCCAGTCAGAGAGTGCGGGCAAGCCGGGGGATTTGGAGTTAATGCTTCTGTTTTCAAGTTTCCCAGTGCTACTCGTAAGCGAAACATGCTTGAAAGAAGAACTCTGTTTCATGCAAAACAGGAAGTGTTGGTCGGTCTGTTCTGCTAGAACAATTTCAAGTACAATGATGTTCCCAAAATAAAACTGCAGCAGTGTAGACCTGTGCAGTAGCCATAGCTGTCTGTGAAAATCTTGGAATAATTCCTTTCATGGGGTCTGTGGAAAAACATTTGTTTTTATATACAAGGGCAAGTATTTTAGTGGGATTATACCTGTTTTCTCCCTGACTGTGTGAAGCCAGATAGATTTTATGAACTTTCAAATGATTCTTGAATCTTTTTTTTTCCCAGAGAAACAGAGAAACATCACCTGAACTTAAAAGAAAATGTAGGTTAATACAGAATTCCTTTTAGTAGCCCCATACATGTTCAGATTTATGAAGAAAAGCTGTCTTTTTTAGGATCATATACTTAGATTTGCAGTGATAATTGCAGCATGTAGATGAGGACTTCTGTGTTTTACTTCAAATATTTGGAGCTTAGAAATATATTATTTTTGGGAAAAGCAAAAATAAATATGTATATATATATGATCAAGAAATTCAATTTTTTTTTTGCTTGAAGTGTCAATTTGCATAAGAACTATAGGATTTTGGATAAGTTCTGATAAACTTAGCTTGAAAATATGATCTTCAGGGCCACATGGATTACTTGTACTTTATTCTTTCATTTATTTTTGAGAATAGAAGAGGGACTTCCTGAAACAATCATAAAGCTGGCTCCTTATTTAGTGTTTTTTTAGGTTTTTTTTGTTTATAAATAACTTATTTTTGTTGTCTGCAAGGATGGAGATTCCATGTTTGTGTGCTTTAATGTAAAGCTTGCTTCTGAGTAGTTAAACCAAATACTATGTATTGGGACAATGTAAGTAAAAAAGTCAGCATGGGAAATGGCAGGAAGTACTAGCACTAGTTTTAGTACTGTGAAGTGCTAGACTTTGGTGACCCAGAGACATGAAATAGCAGGGATGAAACAAAAGCCTGCTTGAATTAACACAGGTTTTCTTCCATTCAGAAGATGGTGGGGAGAGAACATTGAGGGCTGAGGAGGAATAAAAAATCAATAAGAAGAGTTGTTTTCAGTAAGTCGCTAATGCCATTGCTTTCTTTAAAGAATAGGCTGTTTTTAATAGTACAACTCCGGTTTGCTGCTATCAGACTTGCGTTTTGTTATCGCAGGCCTTTTGCAAACAGAAATGAAAGTAGCTCACGCGGTGAGTGGGTGCCTGGGGAGACTTGTGGGTCTGTGGCTTTGCAAGGGATCGCTGTGTCCTTAGGAGTGTGTTTACAGCACAAGCTTGGAGCTGTGGCACTTGTGCCGTGCTGTGGGGCGCCAGTGTCCCTCTGGGTGACCAGCAGCGCTTGTGTACTGTAGCAGCTTGCTTGGGTTTCTCTCTGTGTCTCATGTCTGTCTTGAGTAACTCCCTGTCTTGTCACCCACAACAAAGACTTTCTACAGGGGGAAAAAGCTTTTCCCAGTCCCCAGATGGAAGTTCTGTGCCCACACTTCCCCACCTTCCACATGGGCAGGTAATGAGAAGGTGAAAGCAAAACTGTCTGCTAGGAGTAAGTGATCCTCTCTAGACAGAGGCTAAAATCCCAACTGAAAGAAACTGCAGACAATTATGTTAAGTACAGATACTTACAAATATATTAAGTACAGAGATCTGTAAACAGAAAAAAATATTTCGAATATGCTTTCACATATCGTAGTGGACACCTGTTCTTTAAATTCCAGAGGGTATCACAGAGAGAGAAAGTAGAATATACAGTTGTGAAATTATCATTTATACATAGATAATCATACAGATTATTTGCATATGACTGTTTGTAGTAGTCCTACTTATTCCCTTTCTGTGAATCTCTCAGTTAGAATATGCTTGCAGTTGCTGCATGATACAGCTGACTGGTTACTCAGCGTGAATTCTGCAATAATTCATACTTTGTCATGAAAAGAATTGCACCTGAACAATGTGCTCTAGGTGACCCTGCCTTGAGCAGGAGGGATAGATTAAGTAATCTGCACAAGTCCCTTCCAGCCTCAACCATTTTGTGACTTTGTGAGTCACTCGTTGTTAGTAAGAAATAATTGTTGTCAATAAAAAACAGTCAAGTTACTGGCTTGTGTATTACCATATAACCAAAAAAGGTTTTTTTTTCATATTTAAAAGAAAATATTTGTTTTTTAAGTTCTTCAGATCATTTCCTAGTTTGCAGGAGAAGCTTGAGTAATGCCACTTAAGATGTAGTTGGTTAATCTCTTGGAATTCTCAATTTGTGAGCTCTACTTGAGGAAAGCTTCCACTTCTTTTAGCAGGAGTTTAACAGGAATAGAGACAGCAGGTTTTATCCTCAGATATAGAATATGCTGTTATTTTCAAAGAAATTGGATACACAGGTGGCTAAGCTAAAAAAAAAAAAAAGTCAAAATATTGTCCTGTTGCCAAAAGATTCTGAAACTTACTGTGCAAAGCAGCTCTGTCTTGAACAACGCCTTCTTACACAGTTACCAGGAAATGTGCTGTCTTTCACAGTGAGAACAGTTTCCTGGATCTGAGTAGCAGTGCTGCATGTTTCTGCTTTGTGCTCTCCCTAGGAGTACAGAGTTTGCTGTCCATACTAAAAAGGACTCCCACTTATTTTTGTTACTAAGGCAGGGACAACAATGTTGAATTTCACCATATGGCTCCAAGAGAAAAATTTTGCCCTGTGGTAACTGCAGGGAAGAGGACCTGTTAGCACATGAGTAAATAGTTTCATGGAAAAGGCCTTTATTCTTAGAAGGATATCATTGATTTTTTTTGCATTTGTTTTATACTCAAACATTCATCTGTTTGTTCTAGCTCGTTGTGTCTCATGCAGATATTCTTCCCAGTCCTTTAGGCATTTCTCCTAGGCATTCCCGAGCAGAGAGTCACATCCCTCATGCCCTACTGTCGTGTTTTCCATCCTTTGAAGAAAATGTCATGGCCCCTGGGCAGCTAGGCCAGCACAGAGCTACTCTTGGTAATTGTTGTCAATTGCTCATTTGTTTTGGCAGTTTGGGGATCTGCCCACAGAATTTATCATACTTATTTTCTTATGTCACTGTAAAAGCGTATAATTATAAAATGAGATTGTAGTTGAGAATAAACTGAAATAAATGGGATTTGCTAACTTCTAATTTGGTCAATGTGCCGTTTGAACGCTTCCCAGTACCCTGTCTGGAAAACAAAGCAGGTGATTTGTTCTGTGTCTCTCTGTCGTTTTGCCCCAGAATTGTCGCATAGTGTCACTGTGGTGTCTTACACAGTGGTAATGCTTGCCTAGGTCAGGGACTTTTCTTCACATCTAGAAGGCTGGAAGAAAGGGTTATGGGAGATGCAAGAATTTATTATCTTTTAGAGCAGACAGCTCTTCTTCCTCAAAGGTGAGTGCTGGAACATGGTGTGAAGGCTGACTGTCAAAGGGTGTCCTAGGTAACTCAACCATACTCTTTCAAAGATACACATTTCGTTTGTTACAGAGGAGAATTCAGCTTGAACTGCTTCTTTTTTCCCGCTTTTCAGCAAACACATTCTATTGACTGATTATTTTTCTTTATATAGAAACTAACTTCTCAAAAGCTAGCCTTGAGAGAAGTCAGATGAAAAGTGTGCATTAGATAAACAGCCTTTGGGTGAACAAATATTTAAGTGTGCAACAAGAAAGACTGTTCCAGAAGGAAATCAGGTGATCTCAAAACTGCATTGTATTTTTTTGGCTGTAATTGCAAAAGGTTGAAATAGGGATAGGCAATGATTTTTTTCCCTTGGCAGTCCTGATATTCAAATATAGAAACTGCAAATGACAAAGACACCAGTCTAACATATCTATTTGTTAACCTTTAATAATTTCATTAAATAACTTGAAAGTATGTAGTAAAATTTTGAGCTGAAATATCACTTGTATTTTTTGTGATATTGCCTTTTTTATAGATGACCTCACTTTACTGAACAATGTACAGTGCCATAATTTTCATGCCATAGGCATAAACATGCAGTAGAATTTACCAGATGCCGATACTCTCATTGTAGAAATGATACAATTAATTTAAAGATTAGGAAGTTAAGTTGCCAAAATCAAATTTCTTTGTGTGACTTAGATACGTAGGTGTAAAATTGTGACTACCTTTTTGTGTCTTCCTTTGTGTAATTTTTTAAATAAATTCATTGTTTTACGCAGTGCCAGACCACGAGAGCTCCTCCTATATCTGCTGCTAGCTATCTCAACAATCTGTGAGGCAAGTTTAGGACATTCCAGCCTTGGCACTCAGGAAATGATGCTGAGAATGGGCCTTTTTATTCTAAGTGAGAGGGTATCTCTAAAACTGTAGTTACGAATCTTCCTTATCCTGTGAATGATATGGTAAAATCTTGAATTGCAATAT